CGCCCGAACACACGATGCAGAACCTCTGCATTACTGACATAGTGTTACCACTGGATGTCAGCAATCCCTTGGAGACGACGACGACGATCAAACACAGAGTGTCGTTTAACATCTTCAACTCGGAGAGGCCAGGTTTCACAAGCGTAGAGTAAAAATGCTCTCACTGACGCGTTGTAGATCCGATCTTTTACAGCCAGACTAACATCACGAAGGCGCCAAAGATGGCCCAGATTGGTATAAGCCACTCTGGCTTTCACTATACGTACATTGATCTCATCACTCACACCCCCACCAGCACTTATGCAGCTACCCAGATACACGAACTTCTCGACTACTTCTATCTGCTCACCATCCAGGGTGAGTACAGGATCAGAATCCTGCCAGTCTTGTAGAAGTACTTTGCACTTCGAAGGTGCAAAGCACATACCATACCTACGGACACTGATTGCCAACTGATTAAGTGCGGATTGCATGCCTTGGGCATTATCGCACAGTAAGACAATATCATCCGCATACTCAAGGTCGAGAAGTATTTCTCCAGACAACAGATCCACACCACCATTACTTGCATCCATTAGAGCTGTTTCCAGAATGTCATCGATGGCAAAGTTGAAGAGGAATGGTGAGGTTGAGCAACCCTGCCTAACCCCACTGCTCGAATGGAACAATGGAGAGAGGTGGTTGTATGCCCTCACTCTGCCTGATGATGAACTGCATATAATTATGGAAACTCATACAAACACGCAAATAATAAGTGAGAAAACCGTCTAACGTTTGAGTAAATAGTGAATATCCAAAAATTCATCAGTACATTCTTTTTTTATTACAAATCTTGATATTTGGAAAGGCCTAACAAATGTGATCGGTATGTAATTAAAAAAAAAAATGGACTACTACATTTACCATGAATACGAGTTTAATTTTCCACTAATTAGTACTTAATCTATGTATAAGTACGTAGGAGTAAATACTCATATTTGCTGGGCAAATTTATGCAAAAGTATAATACATTGAAGGCCTTGTGGATACCCAACAGTGAAACACAATTTCTCTTAGCTCGGTTGGGTCATTACGATAGGCAAGCCCGACCACCACGTCAAGGTAGCAGCTACGGTCGGGCCGTGGTAAGAAAGGAAATAACACGCTTTCATTTTGTTGAAAACTTCCTACTAGGCGCTCTTAGACGATATCTCCGAGTGCCCTCAATTAACACGATGTATCTAAAGACGGTATTCCGATTAACGGCTTCAAAAAAACCATGAATCTCGTCAAGAGGACACCGGTCAGCCGTTTTTTTAGAGGAAGCTTGAGAACCATATCAGCTAGATAGTCTCCAAAGCGTTGCGGCAGTCAAATACCCACCAAGTCGAAATGTGCGACTCGACTTTCTTACCAGACAGACGGTGTCGAAATCCAGGTGAGCCTAATCTTTTCCATTTATCTTTGTGTTATGTGCGGAAACAAAGAAAAGGAAAAATAGCCAAAAATGAAACCCGTTTGGCTGAAAAGTCATTGGTGGACTCACGCTCTGAGTTGCAGATTACTCCGCCAAAACAAAACAAAATTTAGTCCTATTGTAGATGGAAAACGTTTGGCCTCATCAAACATTGTTGTGAGTAATTCGCTTGACTCACACGACTCTGTTCCAAGAAAAGCCAACAGTAAGCTCCCAGTAGTTAAAAGACAGGATATGACATCACGATCGAAAGCCGTGAACACGACTTTCAAAGAAGTTAGGTCTGTTCTTAGTTTAATTATTTGGATTTCGGAGTCGGAAGACAATAACCTTGCTAAAAAGCATGCATACGATCTGGAGTCAGTGGAATTTGCCATCAGAAATGTACTGCGAGAAGAGGTTCAGGGGTACATAATAAGACTCGGTGAGTTGGAGGTGAGACCCAAACAACAAGGATCTTGAATTTAATACTCGGAAATTATGAAGAGATGTCATATTGAATAACATACACAAAACTCGTAATTCGAATATTCATATCCGACCAGACTGCCCGCTTGATGATAGAATCAAGTGGAAGAATGACCTTACGGATTTAAAAACTTGAAAGCTAAATGGAGAAACGAATCTTACGATCAAGGGTTTTCGGGTGGTTAGGTCTTGGAATCCAATGCTTCCGAGACTTGTATGGGCAGAACGAGTGATTCTCAAAACACCTTAAATGTATGCTACACGAACGCCCGTAGTTTTAGAAATAAAACATCCAAGCTAAGTTTGATAGTGGAGGAATTAATTGCCGATACAATTGTTGTCCCAGAGACTTGGCTTACCGTGGATATAGACTGTCCCCCCATCATTGCAGGGCACATCCGTATTAGAAGTGATAGTTATATGTTAAAGATCACTTTCGTGCACAATTGATCATATCGGAGGCGCATGACAGTGGTATGTGTGGGGTAACTTGTTGTACAATTAAGTCCAAACGCGAGTTAGTGACCACAGGAAGAATATACCGTAGTCTATGTTGTCTTGCTGATGACTTTATCTTAAGTCACATCTATTCTTGGAGTAAGGCCGAATGTTATCTCATCATTGGAGATTTTAACGAACCGTATATCAACTGGATAGAGCCTACAGCTTCAGGTAGAAGTTTTGACAGCGAACTTCTATCAATTATCCGGTGTGCACTTGAACAATGTGTCGCAAAACCGACACATATAGACTTCGAACATGATCCGTCATTACTGGACCTTGTCCTTACAAACCACTGTGACGATTTCGTCGACATTCAGCACCCCCACTAGCAAATAGTGGTCATGTACTTCACTTTAGGTTTCGGACGCACGGTATACAGTATGTATCTGATCCATCCCGTCCCAATATCTGGCGAGCAAACATTCCGGCAATCAGAGACTATGCTATCTCGACAGACTGGTCGGTCGATGAGGATGAATTGACCGAAGACAAATGGAATAAGTTTAAAGCCACATTCGAGTCCGTAACATCACCGTACATCCCATGGTCAACACGTAGGCTACCACAATGCCCTCCATGGATTAAAACGGAAACCAGAAAGCTGCTGAAGCGAAGCAAGCACTTCTGGGACATATTCTTGTCTACAGACCACGAATCATTTGAGTGTGAATACCGAAAGATCCACTATATATATATATATATATATATATATATATATATATATATATATATATATATATATATATATATATATATATATCGCACCACTTACGAGAGATAATTGGCATTTGGTAGCCGTACTTGCCCGAAACGATTGTTTCCGTACATCAAACGGAGAACTGTTGCACGAAAATTCAGACATACTAGCTATAGTACCTGTACATGTGACTGAGGAAACTGTTCTTCAAATGATCACTAACCTCAAACCTAGTAAGATACCGGGCTCTGATGGGTTACATTCACGATCACTGTCACCTCTCGTGGACATTATTTCAAGACCACTTGCGATGCCTTTCAACATGTCCCTCTCTATGCTCAACTCTCCAGAGATTGGAAAGATGCTATAGCTAGTCCTATATTTAGAGATGGCTAGAGACAAATCGTGTCTAACTACCGAGATGTCAGTCTAACTAGCAAAATAGTTAGGTTACTTGAAAAGATAATTCGGGTTAAGTTACTAAGTCACATAGAATTATACATTCTGTTAACCCCAGAGTAACACGGGTTTCGAAATAAGCGTTAATGTCTAGCCAATTTGTTGTAAAAGATAATTGAACAGGATCCTTAGGTAACGGTCCGTCTGTCAATGTGATATTCACAGACTTTAGCAAAACCTTTGAAAAGGTCCCTTACCTCGTTCTTATCAAGAAGCTCTCGGGCTTCGGGGTAACAGGTGCTGTGTAAGAATGGATAGAGAACTACCTATGTAACCGCAGATAGCGAGTGAGAATTATTGAGACTCTATCTGAGTGGAAGCCAGTCAAAAGTGGCGTACCCCAAGGCACTATCCTAGGTCCCCTACTTCTTCCCTACGTCAATGAAATACTATTGCTTAAGTCGTTAACATTATTATTTGCGGATGATGTCCAAATATGGGGAACAATAAGAATTGAAGCTGATCATTTTGATCTTCAAGACGACCTAGACGAATTAGTTAGACGGTCTTAATGTTGTGGCTTAGAAATTAGTTCTAGCGTGTCCTCGTTAACAGTTACCAGTATACTATCGACGGTACATCTTTTCCATGGGTTCAGCAACATAAAGACGTAAGGGTAATAGTAAGTCACGACTTCAAAAAAACAACTACGTATTGCAACACAGCAGCTGCCAAAGGGTTTCGTGAGTTATGGTCACTTCGCCAAGCATTCAAATTACGTTCCGAATTTTACATAGAACTTATGTAAGATTACACAACTGTATCCAAGCAACTGACCCATGTCTAATTAAGGGTATTAACTCACTTGAGCGCATCCAGCGTATGGGAACAAAATTAATGGAGGCTCTTTCCAAACTCTGTAACGACGAGCGCTTCAAACGCCTAAACATTTCCCCTTGTTGTATCGCGGAACGTGAGGTGACCTCATACTGGCATTCCGTATATTTACTAACGATTTGAGTGCCAATATGTCTTTTTTGTTACCTCCAGCACTGATAATTTTCGGGGTCATAGCAGGAAAGTTCAAAAACCGCGATTCAACAGACTTAAAGTGGGGTTCCGTTTTCTTCATCGAATGATCGACGATTGGGACGCCTTGCCCGGACAAGTGGTATCAGTCTCATCAGTGAACATTCCATAGAAGAAGCTGGACCTTCAATGGAAAGCAAACTGTAAGGATCAGCACAGATCCACCAACCTACTATCCTTATTGCTGAAGATTGGATTAACTCTTCAGATCAAAGACGTTATTTCATCGGTTTGTATTTTTAACTGTTTTGTGGAAGGAAGGCGTTTTCTGATTGGCTGATAAGTAGCACAAGATCGTCAATATAATATACTTATACCAATTGTAAGTCTACTTAAAAACCAAGCTTTTTAACTAATACATCCCTATAGAAATAAAAAGAAAACTACCTTTTCAAACCGAAAATTTTCGAAGCAGACTCAAAAATCTCATTAAGAGTGGCACTAGCTGTTGCAGTCTCGAAAACATGGAACTTATTTAGGAACTTCAGCCTAAGTCTCATCTTTTCAACTGCCCGACTTGACTCGACCTTGTTGCTCGAATGAGTAAAAGAAATTAAAAATTTACTCAACTGACTGATTTTATAGTTAGGGTAATGAATTCTTCGTCTTAAGATATCAGTAACAAATAATCGTGTCATTTATTGCCTTAGTATTCACCGTTGTGACCTGATTTTGATTTATGGAATACTAAGAAACGATTATGGACACAACATATCCTCTCTTGTTCCTCCCACTAGATCGGAACATCTCAGTGGACATAGTAGGCGAGTAGAAAAGTCAAGACCGAGCAAAATACCAATAGCATACAGGTTTTCAATTCGAGTCGTCAATTCTAGGAATCTTTTACCTGAAGCAGTGGTGTCCGCACCTTCAACTAACTCAATAATCCCTAGCTGGACTAAAATTTTTCTTACTCAGTTTCACAGTTCGAAATGTTAGCACTGAGCTATTTCGAGTGATACTGATTTTTTGGAGGACTAGTATATTTATATTAACTGATCACTTGGTAGTGACCATCGTTGATTGGTGGAATTCGATTGGTACTGAGGCCCAAAAAAATGTCACATTTATCACTACCCGGTAATCATTCTTCGATTAATATGGAAATATTTGACGACTTATAATGACCTAAACTTCACAGAATTCGCCTTGTGATCAGATAAATGCTGTTCAAAATCAAATATCGTTTCCAGAAAGTGATTCCCAGAATGAGTTTGATGTAGATACTGTTATATTTTCATTTTATGAGGTTTGGTTGGTGCATACATCACTGCATTAGATACATGATCTGACCAGTAATATGTGAGTGTATTTGTATTCCTACGTATGGGGAAATTTAGGGTTATTTTCAGTATTTTTCCAGAATTTTCAAAAAACTGAGAAATTCATCTATAAATACTCATAAGACTCCATAATTTCTTTGAAAAATTTTGGAATTTCCTCAAAGCCTTGAGGAACTTTATGAATTTCTCATGGCTTTGGGAAAAAAACCAAAACTTTCCCAAAGTTTCACTAAATCGTGAGAATGGGAACTAATAAAAAAATGACCACTTTATGGATAATCAGTTAAATACAAAAAAGGGAATACTGATTGCTAATAAGGAATATAGTCATAAAACAGAATTACCACACTCGATGTCATTAGGTATCACGGACGTGATCCTGGTAATTTGACTCCTGGACTGTGATTAGTTTGTCGTAGTATAAACTGCTGACAAATTACGATACAGTAATAATATATGTGTGAAAGAGAGCGGTTGGAAGGTTGGCTCAAGGTTCCTATCAGAAAACAGGGTGAATAAGAATTCACTCCATAGTTTTGTGAGAAATCGGGTTCTATAGTGTCAAAAGATTTCTTTATTAGCGAATGAAGTAGGAAACCTTGTTGCCAAATGAGGACAGTCTACAACTGATTAATCACTGACTGCTGACTAATGTCATACTTATCACCTCTTCCTTATCTAGATCGAATTCTATCAACCAAATTTTAATGTGAGTACTAGCCAGGGTGACTTGACATTGCGTGCAATATGTAAGGAGGTGATCGGGAGTGGTCTATAGGATACTTTGTACATTTGTTTCGCGCTATTTGGCACTCGCTAGCAAGGTATACCTGTGATCTCGAGAGAACCGTGGCTCCTTGATGGATCAGATCCCGATCCCGTGCCGACCAACTTGGATGTAGCTAGATGATTTGGACTTCACAGATGACCTGGCCGAAGACGAAGTTTTAAAAAGAATGCTGGTGGGCGACCTATGCCTTTCCACGTGGGTTAACAGGCGTAAGTCACTTCTAAAAGACACTTACCAGTCTAACTGCTCAATGCATTAGAATTTAAACATGAACTCAACTTCACACATTCTAACTCGTCAAATTGTATCTGTTTGTCATGATAATACGCAATGAAAAGGAAGATTTACAGTCTCAGATACAGGTAAAAACCAGTTGTACCGTTATCAACGTTTCGAAGTTTTTGTTTGTGAGTGTTTTGTAATCAAACTTCACCACAGCTAACCGTAATTCCTGTAGTTGCTAAATGTTTGGAAAGTTTGTATTTTTACATCAAGAACTGACTTTGGTTGAATAATCATTAAAAATTTAGAAGCACAAGAATTCAGTTTCGTCTTGGCATAGGACTTCGCATTAGTGCGCATTTTTAACACCACCATGAAATAAATCTACTGTCGTGAGGACTTATGTATAATTCCTAACTTTCGGATAACTAAGCTGATTACTTATGATTAGCATTTCTAACTTCAATCAATCCTCTTGAAGATATCACAAGTATTTGCAGTTTGACAATACTTTAACCAGTAACACATTCTACAATTGAATTGTGCCCATCCAGTGAAATCAAAAGTTAGAAGCGAGGAGGTTTGAAGGTATGTTTGATAGGTTATCAATATATCGAGGATCGACTGATCCAGACTGGTTAGCAATTGCAGGGGATGTTGAGCACAGCATTTCCACTCGTCGTCTGGTGCGGATACACGACCGTGCGCCTTCGGCTAGGTGTGTCCATTAAGACTAATGTGGTCAGCATCCAATGTCGAGGACTTACAGAGCTATTTAATATAGGGATTTATTTACCGCTACACGCTATATTACATTGGTCACAGTTTCTCAATAGATTTCAGGAAGCTATCTCTTAAAGTTATTCTCTAGCAAGAACATGGTGATTATTTCAGTAATGAGAAATATGGAGGTAGTTGAATTTCGTTTGGAAATTGTTGCTTTCATTGAAACTGAGCGAAGCAGAGAGAAAGTGCATATATGTGCATTATTTACATTAAATTCTCGAGAGTTTAACTTAACCTGAATAACAATTCAAAGCACTCAGTTTTAGAATGAAACGTAATATCGATTCAATTAAATCATTCCAGATGAAGTGTAGATGTTTGTTTCGCGATTTTCATTATTTAAAGTAATTTACATTATGATTTAATTTGTTTAATGAATTACAGAACTTTTGTAGCGTGTGTTACTTGAGTAGTATATAACGCGAGTCAGAAATAGAATGTCTGGTAGAAGAAGATTGTAAAGGTCGAAGAGGGAAGATCATGAACAGAAGGCGATTAGTATAGAAGTGAAGGAACAGTGAAGTCTGATACGATTGACTGATATTTGCAAAAACATCAGTCAAGTTTGAGACAGTTGATTGATATTTTACAAATGAAGTATTTACTATATGGTTCTCAGATTCTACCAATATGTTCTGTAATTTGTGATCAAATACATTCGATTGTCTCCCATTCTTGACTTCTTTCACAACGCTTCCAGTATTTTCGGTTAACTGAACTGAACGATGTAATTTACTGTTATTGTGCATGACATTAACATCAATGAACTAAAAAAAACTGATCCACAAATTTCATAAGCGAAGATAGATAGTGACTAATAGTGGGATTCGGGACGCGTGTTTCGTCCTGTTTAAGGCTCTTCAGCTGGATGTCTACATCTCAGAGTTGATATTCACTCTGGGACTGGAACCCAATAGCGTTCGCTTCAAAAGTCATCCCGTTATACACTGCGCTTCTGAGTCCTGATAGCCACCTGAACAGAATACTCATATGTCAATAAGGGAATGATTGATTACAGTGCTAAATAACGATGGGAAGATACAAGTGAACAGCATCAAGTGAATTTGTCCCGAAAACCTTGATTGTGATTGATTATTTTCACAGAATCTGGAATCTCTGATTTCCGACTGATTGTTTCCATGGTCAATTGACCTTTGACCATGTGACTGATTGACATCTTTCGCGTGCATCGAAAATATATTGATTTTTGATCATCGAATTAATGTGATATGGAAATCAGTGAATAATCTATAATGAGATAAGAAAGAAAGCAAAACATTCACTACTTATCAGTTGACAGTAGTTTCATGTTTATTAGCCACAATACATATAATTAACTCCGTTTAAGCTTCACCTAAACTTGTCTATCTGTAAATTGTTGTCACAATCAGGGTTTGTGGAAGTTGTAGTAATTTTGATGGTTGAATCCATGGATCGATTTAAGCTAGACCACCATGGAATCACTGGACGGCCGTTTCGTTCTAGTATGGGACTCCTCAACAGTGCGGACACACGATCCCTCACGCGGGATCCGAACCCGGGACCTATTGATCTTGTGGGAGAACGCTTTACCTCTAGACCACTAAGCCATCAATCCATGATATTGTGCGACCATCGACCATTATCTTCAGTGAGCTACTTCCACACAACAGACACGGTTTGAATCCACTGATCATGTCTACTAAAAAATAAAGACTTTACCATGAAAAAAGAATGATTATTACAAAGGTCATTACGGTAGCAATAATATTTCAATAAATCATGAACAATATTACCATTATTTTTAAATGAATACTTGCCTATTCAACAGTATATAATATTACAATAAGTCCCATTATTTAAAAACTGTTTCAACTAAATACTTATAAATGCTAACTATATGTATGTGGCAAAGTAAGGGTTGCCTTCCTACAATTGAATAACATATGGAACTCAAAACAATTATCAACCAATATAAAAGTCATAGTATTCAATATGAACGTCGAGACAGTCCTGTTGCACAGAGCTGAAACTTGGAGAACTACCACAATCATCATCAAAAAAGTACAAGTATTTATAAACAATTGTTCACGCAAGATACTCAATATCCATTGGCCGGATACCATCAGAAACAGCCTATTGTGGAAGAAAACAAACCAGATTACAATTGAAAAAAAAATTAGGCAAAGACGTTGGAAGTGGATAGAATACAGATGATGGAAGTCATCAGACTGCATCAGGAGGCAAGCGCTAACTTGGAATCCTGAAAGGAAAATGTAAAGAGGAAGGTTAAAGAACATATTGCATTGAGAATTCGAAGCAGACGTCGAAAGAATGAATAGCAACTGGAAACGACTGAAAAGGATTTCCCAGGACAGAGTTGGACGGAGAATGCTGACGGGCGGCCTATGCTCCTCCATGAGAGGTAACAGGCGTAAGTAAGGATGTAATATACCCGCTAGGTTTAATAAAAAACTCATAAACTATTATGACGCGAGATGTTGGAAAACTCAAATGGAAATGCTAGATTTCCTGTCATCTTTTCAGCTTAATATATCATTTAAATAAACAGTAGAGTTTACTCAATTTGGGGGTTAAACATATACTTGCTTATTTATGCCTGTTACCCCTTGTAGAGGAGCATAAGCTTTCTACCAACATTCTCCACCAAGCTCTGCCATGGACAATCCATTTCAGTTCTTTCCAGCTGCTATTCATCCTTTCGATCACTGCTTCCAATTTCCGACGCAGTTTGGTCCTCTTCTCCGTATTCCTTCATTATTCCAAGTTAGCGCTTGCCTCCTGATACAGTCTGATGATTTGCACAATATGCATTCACTTCCAACATGTTTTCCCAATTTTTTCTTCAATTGTAAGCAGCTTTGTTCTCTCCCACATTAAGCTGTTACTGTTGTTATCTGGTGAACAGATATTGAGTATCTTGAGTAGAAAATTGCATAGACAAATGATATTAAATAATGACCACATAATATCACGGAATAACTAAAATTGAATGTATGAAATTTTGGAGCCATGTTTAAGGGATTAAAAATACAATACTTTTCATTAGATCTAAAGGTCATGGGTGTCAAGCTTTGGGTAAAGACGCGATAGACGAATAGTGCTTTGCTAATTACAACAGTCACTTATTTATGTACGATCTAACTACTACTATTACTACTACTACTACTACTACTACTACTACTACTACTACTACTACTACTACTACTACTACTACTACTACTACTACTACTACTACTACTACTACTACTACTACTACTACTACTACTACTACTACTACTACTACTACTACTACTACTACTACTACTACTACTACTACTACTACTACTACTACTACTACTACTACTACTACTACTACTACTACTACTACTACTACTACTACTACTACTACTACTACTACTACTACTACTACTACTACTACTACTACTACTACTACTACTACTACTACTACTACTACTACTACTACTACTACTACTACTACTACTACTACTACTACTACTACTACTACTACTACTACTACTACTACTACTACTACTACTACTACTACTACTACTACTACTACTACTACTACTACTACTACTACTACTACTACTACTACTACTACTACTACTACTACTACTACTACTACTACTACTACTACTACTACTACTACTACTACTACTACTACTACTACTACTACTACTACTACTACTACTACTACTACTACTACTACTACTACTACTACTACTACTACTACTACTACTACTACTACTACTACTACTACTACTACTACTACTACTACTACTACTACTACTACTACTACTACTACTACTACTACTACTACTACTACTACTACTACTACTACTACTACTACTACTACTACTACTACTACTACTACTACTACTACTACTACTACTACTACTACTACTACTACTACTACTACTACTACTACTACTACTACTACTACTACTACTACTACTACTACTACTACTACTACTACTACTACTACTACTACTACTACTACTACTACTACTACTACTACTACTACTACTACTACTACTACTACTACTACTACTACTACTACTACTACTACTACTACTACTACTACTACTACTACTACTACTACTACTACTACTACTACTACTACTACTACTACTACTACTACTACTACTACTACTACTACTACTACTACTACTACTACTACTACTACTACTACTACTACTACTACTACTACTACTACTACTACTACTACTACTACTACTACTACTACTACTACTACTACTACTACTACTACTACTACTACTACTACTACTACTACTACTACTACTACTACTACTACTACTACTACTACTACTACTACTACTACTACTACTACTACTACTACTACTACTACTACTACTACTACTACTACTACTACTACTACTACTACTACTACTACTACTACTACTACTACTACTACTACTACTACTACTACTACTACTACTACTACTACTACTACTACTACTACTACTACTACTACTACTAATAATAATAATAATAATAATAATAATAATAATAATAATAATAATAATATTAATAATAATAATAATAATATTAATAATAATAATAATGATAAACCATGGAATATGGTTTTATTCTCCTGTTATATGACAACAGTGGATAGATAGTAAATTAATCAATAAAATTTGGTGAGACTATGATGTATGGACGACCTTCGAGCAACGCTAGACTGACTTTGAGAGTGTTCACCTAATAACCAGTTCCAAATGAGGTTTATAAATCAATGTGAAGAGTAAGGATCATGACTTACAATTGGTAGTTAAGGTCAGAAATTAGATTTCAGGTTTTCATCATGAACTGACATTAGCTTAAATAACAAATGGATAAGTGAATTTCGCGATGAAATCCAAAACCTGTTATGTTATTGTGATAATTAGGAGTATTTGAATTATAGTTCGAATTGAAAATCCCAGAAATAATGCAATTGAGTCAAGGAGTACTAGATGAGCACAAACGAATATACTGTATTCAGAATTCGAAATGAAGCATTCAACAAGTACAAAGGAATCATTAATTCATCCAAACAACACAGTTATACATGTTTGGTTCATCTATATATTATAGTCTCACCGAGAATTCCTATATATTCACTCTTATCATTACCAGACAATAATGAATTATTTTTAGGGATTTCATTTTAAAGAAAGAATTAGGTATGTACAGAAGGACTTCCTAGTTTTTATTACGAAATACAATCTATTTCATTCTAATGAACCAATCCTAATTGTTTATATGTATATTAGTTTGTAAGATGGGGAAAAAGATTTATAGCTCAAGTGGATGATTTTGATGAAATTCTGTTCTCTGAGCTGGATAGTTTCTTTTAAACTTCTACTTGAAGTTTATGATGATGATGATGATGATGATGATATCGTTCAGAAGAAAAAAATGAAAGCTCCACGACCAAACCATTTAGCTCAATGAACAAAACTTTATCAAAAATGTTCATTCTTATATTTATCCACTTTACGACATGTACATTTACACTTTGAATGCTTTGCCAAATCTCATTAATTGTTCTTTGTAACCATGTTAATTTTTATTATTTTAACTAATCCATAAGAAAAATAGAACTGTTTATACATTTTCTTTCACTTATATAAGATATAATTGATGATTTCTGTGTAGGAGTTTCTATGCATCTTAATGAAAGTACAAAACATAGTTTATTGCCAAATGATTCTTTCTTTTCAAATATTTTCACCAAATACCATCTCTTCATGTGTGTGTACGTGTGTGCTACCGATCGGTAGTCATATTCTGTTTGCCCAGTTACCTATTGATCGATCCCTTATATGGTTACAAAATACATATATGTATTGTGCAATGAAACTAACCAATCAGAAGATAGAATAGAAACATCATGAAACGTTTTCATTGATTTGATTGGTTAATTTAAAAAACAACCAATCAGGTGTTAGTTTTTATAAGAAAGGGGAAAAAAAGCAAATAAATAAGGAAACTGAAATTTAGGACAAAATGTGTCATACATTCCAAACTATCTTATCGAGTATTTGTTTGATCCACTTGATAATAGTAGTATAGTTATGTCATTGATGCTATTCTTTATTATGAAGGTTTCATTTACCTTTTCACAACATGAGTAAACAAATATGGGATAGTGTAGACTCATTTGAATGTTATACATAGTGATAAAGATCTTCCATTGTGCATTACCATAAACACTAAGGATTATCTATCATAAATGATACTTTATAATGATGTTTAATGTTTTGGAAGTGATAATAATATGGATTTAGTAAAAACTGAAGCAACTTGTTTACCAGCTGGTCGATATGAATTTAAAGATTCTGGTTTATATATTGGTGAATGGTTAAATGAGAAAGCTGTTGGTTTAGGTTTAATTACAAAAGATAAATGTCAAGGTGAATATACTGGTTTATGGGATTCTGGTTCAGAGAAAAGTGGTGTATTTTTATGGCCAAATGCACCAGGTGCTATGTATGAAGGTGAATGGGCACATAATCGACGTAATGGTTATGGAATATTTACACGAGAAGATTGGGTTATTATGGGACAATTTAAAGATGATTTTATTAAATGTGGAATAAAATGTAAAGAAGATTCAATTGGAAGATTTGAAGGTGAATTTGAAAATGGTTTTCCTAGTTTTGGTGTAGAAACTTATGCAGATGGAGGTAAGTTCTTCTCAATCCTGGCTTCCTTTTTTAATGTATGTTTATATATAATGACATCGATTTACAGCTAAGGAGGATGTTTTTGGAGGGGTTATGTTTATTAAGTTAGATGATTCTTTTGGTCAACCTTTCAGTATCGTTCTGAGCACCATCATCAATGCCTATTTCACATAGAAGTAAGCTTTTCGCATACTCTACAGATGATAAATCACTGTCTTTATTCATAGTTTCATTCTTATTAACTCTGTTGTTCAATTGACTTTCAACCTTGTGATTGATTGAAATGTTTATATAGGTTCATAGATCAGATCTATGTTGATGTGCTTGTTGACTGTCAACGGATTTGAATCCTATGAGTCTCAGAATGTTTAAGTTAAGATAGTATCTGTATCCAAAACCGAAGGATGATAACAAAACATTCAAAGAAGATCAGTCACGGACAATATACATATATATACACGTATTCCTGTTAGTGTCTATAATTACCCATATGAATTTTTGAAAACGTTTATGACCCATAAGAAGTCATGGTTACTTAGTGTTAAACCGTTTCCAGGTAAACTGTAATATCAATCGATGTGCTTCATAGAATTTAATGATTATTTGATTATTATCATTATTATGTACTTAATAGTTCATTAGCACGACGCGGAATGCTGACTAGTGTTGGGGATCGTTGGAATAAAGGGCAGCCAAACCAACACGTGGCATCAGTGCTTGAAGTCACCAACTTTTAGTTTGAGCCATGCTGGTAGATGCAGACTACTTGATTGGGATCTGCGTGACTATCATAATCAATGGTTGGAGACTTTGAGTGACATGGTTCAGAATCGATCACAATGGCATAGGTGTATACACACTCTGTCTTCCTTTAAACTATGAGATTAAAATCGCTTCATATCTTCCCATCTACGTACTTATTCTATATTCCTCTCCTACATCCTTATATGCAATCTTTCTTTTATATATTACCATCATTGAATTAACTACTTCTATGAATTCCATGTTCATCTTGTGTTGATGAAGTATGTCAACTTGTACCGATGTATCTATGTGTCTGGTCCTAAGTTGTAGCTGACTGACTGACTGACTGACGTAATTTTGTCATATCAAAACGACTCTTCATTTTTTACTAACCGGTTATTCTGTTATCAAATTTTCATTCTTTATTACCTTAAGTCATTGATTCGGATTTGTGAATATGAAGCCAAAATGAATTGTATCCCATTAAATGATCAATAGCATAGTTCATATAACACAAAATATCTTGTTACCTATAACATACCGGTTAACTGTTTAAACTTCCATTTTAGAATATACTACTTAAATACAGTTTCTTTTTTTACCATGATTAAACTTTCTCAGTTTATGTAGAAAACACTAGTCAGATTTATAATGAGTCAGTCAGTCAGTTACAAATTGGGACCAGGCACATTTATATATCGGTTCAAGTTGCCATACCTCATTAACACAACAAGATGAACACCGGATTCATACAAGTAGTTAATTCAATGATAGTAATATATAAAAGAAAGATTGCATATATGGATGTAGGAGAGGAATATAGAATTAGTACGTAGATGGAAAGATATGAAGCTATTTTAATCTCTTAGTTTAAGGGAAGATAGAGAGTGTATACATCGACGCCATTGTGATCGATTCTGAACCATGTCACTCAAAGTCTCCAACCATTGGTTACGATAATCACGCGGACTTCAACCAAGTAGCTTGCATCTAGCAACAAAACTACGTACTTATATATACAAAACGAAAAAAAAGATTAAAATTTATTGAAAACGTCAATGATTGTAAGAATCATATTGAGGGTATGGTTTATCAGCATATATTGGTTGAAATCAGAAGGGGCTTTTGTGGATACTATAGTGATTTTTAATAGTTGAGATCATAAGTCAATTGAAGTTAGACCATCATGGAATACCTGGAAGTATTGGATGGTTGTTACATCTTATCCTGGGACTCCCCATCGGTATGCATCCACGATCAGTCAAAATGCCAAGACACTATTTGGTCAAATAAGTGAGCGAATTTCGTGACAATATCCAAAACCTGTTATCTTAAAATCTGATTGGCTCGTCCATAAACTATCGTCTTGTAGTGAACAAGCACACGAGTGGGAACAGTCAAACGTATCTGAATATACAATTACAGAACATCTTAGTATAATCTGTGAATCATGCAGTAAATACTTCATTGAACAAAATATCTATCAATTGCCTCAAACTTGACTATTCCTTTTGCAAATATCAATCCATCGTCTCAGATTTCATTGTTCCTACCAATTGCTTTCCTTTCCCATTCTTCTCTTATCGATCTTCTATTGCTGATTAACGTTATATACTACTTATGTGAATATAAGCAACTCACATCATAGTCTTACTAAATGAAATGAAATTCTAAGTGAATTAAACTAGTTTATTTGTATGTATTATTGTATGTAAACAAAATAGAAAGGTAACTAACAACATAGTTATGCTTATTGTATAATCAAACATAACATTTATAGACATGATGGATTGAAGATATGCTTAATTATATTAAAAGCCATTTATATAATCCATAAGTTCTAGTGACTTACATCTTGTGAATTTGAATTCGGCTTCTTTTTATTCTTTTTCTTATTATGCTGAGGAGTCTCACATTAGGACGAAACGGCCATTCAGTGTTTCCGGGTTTTTCATAGTGGTCTAGCTTCAATTGACTCATGATCTCAACTATTGAAATTACTATAAAATCCACAAAAGCCCCTTCTGATACCAACCAATATATGCTGACTACTGACTGCCTTCAGTAGGTATTTTCTGGAGTCCTAAGGAGAAGCAGTGACTAGTGGAGTTCAACCGGGTCTGTTGTGAGATAGTAACTCACTGAAGACAATAGTGGACGGTGACGCAATTTCGTGGATTAGTTGAAGTTAGACATTAACACCA